TTGCTTCATATTTTTCATCTGTAGTTTTTAGGAACTTTTCAGATTGTGAACAGGCTGTGGTTTGTAGCTGTGAAGAGAAGTTCAGACATCCCGTGTTCTTTCCCTGTCCCTTAGCAAGGGTATACCTGGCTGATAAGAAACAAAACTGGAGGCAGATTAATTAGTTTCCTGCTTGCAAGAACTGTAGTCAAAAAATTCACAGTGTTTTCACAACTTCTACATGAGCAAACCAGAACAGTCAATGATGAAGTCTTGAATTTTTTTCCATGGCTTCTCTATCTTGAAAACTCAGTTATTCTCACCTACTTTCCAGAAATGTTGGGAGGCTTTAAATGTTGTGCTTTGTCTCATGGTGTATCACCCACCAGTCCTGTTAAGACCTTGAAATAAGTGGTGGGAATGAAACACGAATGTGTTGTAGAGTGCGTATACAGAGAGTTTGGAGGCTGAGGATGAAAATCGGCTCTTACGGTTGAGGTTGTATGGTTTTGGTTACCTGTAGCTATGAGACCTTTTCCTTTAAGACTGAAAACTTCTGAGTATATCCCTTCTCTGATAAAGCCAGCTTGCACTCTGTCAAAGGTTAAAAGCACAATATGGTGATGGAGAAGAATATTATCGGGAGAAGTGGAGGAGAAGATACGGTTTTGGGGAGCACAAGTTGAGGGTTGGACAAGTTTATGGGCAGCTTGAATGTGTCAGGGAAGGAGGGGGCACATCATTGATGTGGATAAGGAATAAGCCAGCAGGTGGAAGGAGAGGCAGCTTCTAAAATTACTGTGTCAACTACAGAAATGGAGTTTACCTACTCCGGTAGTGCCCTTCCAGCTCCCCTCTGGTACCCGCTTAGCTTTGTGATCTTCATGAAAATGTCTTATTTACCAGGAGAGCTGCCTGAAAACGTCTCAGATTTTTGGTGTGTTTTCATAAAACAGGGTTTCAGGGTGAAAAGAATTTCAGATTTTCAAGTGGGAATCACTTTTCTTGTAGAAACTTTCAGATGTTTACATTAAAAGATAAGAAATTTGTGTTAGAATTTAAAGAAAATGTTTCAGAATGATGAAAAATGTTTTGATCCAATCAAATAAAAATGTTTATAGCCTATTCAGTTGTAAAATGTGTTAAGATAAGAATTACTGTTTCAGCAGCAAGTTTTTTCTCAATCACAAAAACGATTGGACTACAGAAAGAAAACTTCCTTGTTTGCCAGAAGAGCTGTCTCATTCATTGTCTAGTTTTGAAAGTTAGTTCCATCACAGGGAGATTTCCTGTTATCCCAGAGAATTGTAAACTTGAGCCTAAGTTTTGTTATTATTAGAAAATGTGAGCTTTTTTCTTGGAGCCAGCAAAAGGATATGGCAGTCGGTGGTTTGCTGATAGGATAGTGTTTAGTTACGTGCCAAGAGAAGGATCACGAGTGGCTCTTGTGTTGCCTTTTCTTCATTAATTGGTGTCTCGGTTTCTTGCATCAACATTAGAACGGGCAGTTCAATTATACACCATTTCTTAATTTTACATCTTTCGTCATTTCTTCCATAAAGGGAGGCATTGTCTAGCAGTTTTGTGACCACAGATGATCTAGATCCATAATATCGCATGATATCAGGGTTTCACCTTCTGGTTTTAGTACATCACCATGTAGATCCATCAGGTTTTCTAATTTTATGGTGTTTGTTCTTGACTTTTGGCAAGTATCTATAAACAAAATAATGTTGAGCAAAGGGAGTCCATAAAATAGCTGCTATGGCTACCAAAATTTGCTGAGTTAATTTTTGTACACATAGTGATGACCTGGATTCCTGATTAGGACTCCAGGTCACACGATATATTCATGTAAATAATAGTACAGCAGTTTTCAGCTGTGATGTCTTGATGTTCCTTTATCTCGTGGCACTTGAAAGAGGAAACAGTTCTTGGCTCTGGGTAGAGTGGAGTGCTCTGTTCTGTAGGTGGGAGAGCTGAGACACTGTCATGTGTCTCATTTTCTGTGTTTTCCAAGCTCTCCAAAAAACTCTTTGTACAGAACACGACCCCTTTGAACAGAAATTTGCAAGTTAAGATAGACACACATATCACTTCAAAGGCTATAATAATAGAAAGGATGATGCATCTGGAAGAGGAAAGAATATCCTTTAAAAAATACCATGCCCAGAGGCTGGACGTTATTGCTGGGAGGGGGAGGAAAAAAAAGAAAATCTCTTGATGATAATTCAGGGAGCGTTCCTGCTGGTGGCAGTGCCAGAGTTGACAGTGCTATGTACTTGAAGCTTCCCAGAAAGTAAGTGTAACTGGGCGTCCTCCTCTTCAGATCTAATGGCAAAATCTCAGCTGTTTTTTCAGGGTAGGATCAAGCATAGTGGGAATTGCAGTTATGGTCAGTCTCTCTGGATTTACTTCATAAGAGCAACTCAGAGGTCCAGGGAAGAAGCAGTGGATGTTTACATGTGAATGTGATTGCTTCCAAAGCCCAAATCGGTAGTATAGACGTAGTCTGCCCTTCATTTAGTGAGGATGGAGCTATTTCTGTGGTTTCGTTTGCTCTCTAAGCCAGCAAATCAAGTGGAAGTACATTAATAGTGCAACTAGCAGTGCTAATGCGTGATTTCTCTTCATCAACGTGTAGCACCTTTGGAATAGGACTCCGTTGGTGGGCATGGCTGCAACCGTAAATAACACTGGGAACAATGGGACGAAGAAGTAGTAGCTAAAATTCCAACTGAATGTTCAAAATTTGTATTTACAGTGAATTGCTCTAAACTGGAAGTGAAATAGTGAGATCTGCATTAGTACCACTTACTTAAAAGAAGGTTGGACAGAAGCAATTGCTGTATGGAGCAGAATCCAGGTTTCCATAGAAAGTAACCGTGCTAGGGCCGATCCACCAGAGGAGAAATACAACCATGGAAAATAATAATTGCCTAAATATGCCTAACTCTCCTGCTACCAAATGATCTACAATTAAAGGAAATACCTTATTTTCAAATACAGAGCAGCTGTCCAACAGCTGAACCTGCTGCTGATCAAAGTTGATCAAAGAATTCTTAGGATTATATATTACAGACAATCTACAGAAAAAATGTAGTAGTCCCTGTTTATGGCATGCTTATCAGAGTCCATTGAAGTAAACAGGACTTTTTGTTGTTTTTAATGCAAATCTGATAAGCTCTGTAGGATGTAAATCAGTTCATTAAAATTTGTAAAGCACTTGAATGAAGTAAAAGAGAAAACAGTTTAACTTTTATAGGATGTTTACTGCATAAAAAGGACAATAAAATCACAATTATTCAGAAAAAAATACTGTTAAAGTGTGCTATACTCAATATGTTGTTCTGCAGAGGATTTAAAATTTTTAAATTGTGATTTAAAAAAAAACCCTAGCCTGACTCTAGAAATCTTACTGTATTACTGTGTAATTTTGTCTGTACAATCTTCATACCATATCTGTCTAACGTATGCAACATGTACGTGTGTGTGTTTGTGCGTAATGTATATGCAAGTATGTATGTATGTATGTGTGTATATATTAACCCAGGGATCAAAATAAACACTGAACAGCTCCTTTGTTTGTAGGACGCTGCCTAAGCTGGGGGTATGTCAGGAGAGAAAAAATAAGTAAATGATGATAAAAAAAAGACAGAGGCATGGCCTATGATGTCTTCTGACATGATGCTTCGCTTGACAGTCTTAACTCTGATACTTGTGGCACTGCCTAGTCTGTTGTATCTCCTAGTACAATATTCCGAATGCCGAGGTGACACTGCAAATGCTGAGAATAACATTCATTTATCTTTGGCATTTGGGAAGTTTTGTCCACTCTCTGTGGATATGGGTGCATGCCGGTATTACCTTATGCACATACAGGTTTACATAAAACTTACTGCCTCTGTGTTATCTCTGTAAAAGCGATGCATAAAGTAGCAGTTGACAACTTTTAGTGAAGCTGCTTTGGAGCATTCATGCTCTGATTTCTGAAAAAAACTTCTTTTCTTTTTTTCCCCCCGCTTGCAGTTACTTCAATGAGAATCAATATCCAGACGAGGCAAAGAGAGAAGAAATTGCAAACGCCTGTAATGCAGTTATACAAAAGCCAGGTGAGGAGCTGATCGTGGTGTCCTTTGCAAAGGCAATTGCAGTTAGATTGCAACATCTCCTGCTAAATTCAGCAAATCTCATTTTATGGCTATTACTAACAAATGTAGTGCTCTCAACTAGTAGTAGGTTTCTTCTTGAGCATTCTATAACTCGTGTTGTTCAGAGCTGCCATACTTGGGTGAACATGACAGTCAATGCCATTTTCAAACCTAAATGCTGATGTCTGAAACTTAAATTCCCACCAGTTGAGATATGAAGTACAAATTGTGCATCCGAACATTTCACTTATACAGCTTTGTAAATGGCATTGCTAAGAAAATAAATGTGTCTGAAAGGTTTTCATTCTTTACATTCAGTTATTTCAAAGGATGTCTATAAGCACTCAGTAGTGATCTGACAATTTTATTACACTCCACGAAAGTGGGTTTTACTAGTTCTGTTTTACAGATGGGAAATCTTAGGTTCACAGACTGAGGCTTGCTGGAGATCATACAGCAGGTCCTCGGAGGTTTAAGGCGCACAGCTTTCCTGTCTTTCAGTTTTCTTTGCAGCTTCTAGACAGGCGTCTCATATTAGAATCTGTGCATTAATGGAGGACCTTGTATTTGGGTCAACAAGTTGCATTTTCCCTGTTCCTGGAGAAGTCACACTTGGGAGAGGAGCATGAATATTCAGTGTAGTATTAGTGGACGCACCTGCCTTTGCTTAGTTTTGCTAACCAAACATTTACATAGTTTTCAGAACTTGTATTTTGGATATATTTAGATTTTATATAACCAGAACAAAAATTAATGCAAAAGAAAGCTAAGGCATGACTCCTGAACATTGGGACAGTCACGGGATAGCACAGAATCATAGAGCGATTTAGGCTGGAAGTGACCTCTGGAGATCATCTGGTCAGGCAGGACCAGCTTAGATTAGGCTGCTCAGGGCTTTACCTCGTTCAGTTTTGAGTATCTCCAAAACTGGAGGTTTTCCCACCTCTGGGCCCCTGTTCCACAGTGTTGAGCACTCTCATGGCAAAATACTTTTTCCTACTACCTAGTCAAAACTTCCCTTGTTGCAACTTTTATGTGTTGCCCCTTTGTCTTTTCGTTGTGGAAGCAGAACGATCTAGCAGGTAGAGCACCGAGGAGGTGAGGATTTTATTCCTGGCTGTGCTGCTGGTCGGTTTAGCAACTTCGAACAAACTCCTTAAACGCTGTGTCTCAGGATCGGTAACATATTGTGAGTGGTACTGATGCAAAGCATTAGGAAACAGCATAGCTATCTATTTCCAGATTTTTCTTGCCTCATCTCCCCTTACTTACTTAAGTTTGCAGATTGCTGCAATTACATGAATGTTTTGTATGCTGAATAAATAAACTTAGAGAAACAGTCTGAAGCAGGGGAGTCTCATCCCCATGTAGTCTGCAGAGGACTGAGGATGCAGCTACGTTGAATAGAGTCAAGGCCAGCTGGAGGGGCTTCCGTGCTGTCCCTGCAATGCTGAATCCCTCCAGTCTTCCCTCTTTCACGCTGGTGATCAGGAGAAGGGATTGCCTCCTGTAGCTGGCTGGTGGTTGTTGGGATTTTATTTGATGGTTTAAGTGTCAAACTCCAGTGATCTGGTTTCCAGCATCCCCCCCCCTTTTCCCAAAAGATCGCAAGCGTCCTGGCACAATTGAGAGGGTGAGATTAGTGCTGCGGGAGCATGATAGCAGCTGGTGGTGGAGAGGAAGGAAAGCAGGTTGGAGGGGACGACACAAGATCTCTTCATTCATTTTGCTGCTGAAGCAAACATGTCATTGAACTATATCCTCACAGCACATAGTAAGAGAACTAGCCCAAGGGTATGCGATTTGTGGCAGGGCTGTGAACTGAATTTGAGTTTTTTTGAATCTCAGTTTTGTGCTTGAACTAGAAAAGCAGCCCTCTATTCTCCCATGGCTCTGGATTTAGTTGACTGAAGCTGCAAATAAATTCCTGTATTTCGGATTTTAAAAACAAGAAGAAAGCCTACTTTGTTTTTAGAGAGAGATTTGGCATTTATTACCATAGCATCTGGGCACAGTACTTTGATTCATATAAAATTCACTTCATTCTCAGTTATAAAAACTTTTCAGTGCCGTCTATATTTCACAGGGGCTTATCACATGTGTAAGGGTCTTCTGCCTACCGCTGGAACCCAGCGAGTAACAGTGCTGTATTTTTTCTCCCTGTTACTTTCATAGGAAAAAAGTTATCGGATTTGGAGCGAGTTACCTCCCTTAAAGTGTACAATTGGTTTGCCAACAGAAGAAAGGAAATCAAGAGAAGAGCCAATATCGGTAATGTATCAGAGCGCCTGCTTTCAAGGTTTAGTACATACACTTGCTCAGGAGAGGTGGAAAATACGTAAGATTGTATTAATGAAAATACTAGAGGTTCTGACATTCTTAATAGAAATGTGGAGCAATTTTTAAAATTAGTCTCTTGCTGTTCCAGATTTTTGCTAAAATACGGGTAGGAATTTAATTTATAGCATTCCATCATCACTGCAGGAAAAATGATGCAGTTATGAAGTTTTACTGGAAGATCAGTTTTAAAAACCAGAGTGAGAATTCTGTTGGCGGAAGGAGAATCGTATTTCCCTATGCTCAGGCTCCTTTGGGTATCCAAAATAAAACCTAAAGTAAAACCTCAAAATATCTGCATTGGAAATAAGGGAATTGGAGATGATTGCAAGTTCACAACCTTAGCATGCTGTTTAAATGAAAAGTGGCTGTTGTGAAGAGCTTTTATCTGGTTGTAAGTTTCCTTGTGTCTATGTTCCACTGAAACGTGCTTGTTTTTTCAGCCAAAACCTGGGGCTGTCTTTCTTGCTGCCATCCCTGAGACCCCACAGGGATCTAAGAGTTCAGATGAGTTGTTTTACATCTCAGATACAGCCACTAGGACCAAAGGCTCCGCAAGCCAGCTTCTCATTCCGGTTACACCTGTGCTCCTTACTGCTTTCCAAGGGGTTGCACAATGACAAGTGGCTGGAACAAAGTAATAATTTTTCTTGATGATCAGGATTAAACAAAAGTCACTTCAGAGTTAGCCCTGCAGGTTCTCCAAGTGAGGAGTAGCTGGTCGTAAGGCAATGAGAAGTGACTCTGAACTTGTAAGAAGCAGACCTACTAATGTGAATAAACATAAGACATTCTAATGAGAATAAACTCACATTAGTGGCCAGGATTCGACAAACTTCTGCAATGCATGCAAAATTTTATGCACTTCCTTAGATACTACGCAGAATTGTGTTTGCAATATATGGACAAACATACCCGCCTATTACTGGTATTTTTGCAGATGTCAAATGATATGCCCTTCTGCTCTCTGCTTCTTTTTGCCATATTTGTGAATAAGAAAAATTTCTTTTTACAGCATTTGGTGTGTTACTGAAATTTAACCTAAATTTGTTTTTTTTTTTAAATGAAACCTGTTGAAGGGCGGGGGGTGGGGAGGAGAACAAAGCAAAGGTAGTCCAAGATGGGTGGAATTATAACTGTATCTGACCTGCATGGGGAGGAGGGTTGGAAGAGGATGAAAAAGAACCAAAGGGAGCTTTAGATGCATGGATCCTACAGGAGGATGAAGATACGTGTGTTTTCAAATCCCTTAAGTGCTTTAAAAAATTGCTCCATCCATTTTCAGACGCTCCCCACCCCCCTCAAGTCCTGCCAGTCCAAACTATGTGGGAAGATCTACAGGGAGTGCCTTTGCCACTCCAGTGCATTAGAAACTAAGCTAATTTCTAATAGGACTGGCTAGAAAACAAGGATTCTTACTCACAAATAAGTCTGTTAGTTGGCAGGGAAGGATTTCAGGCAAACCAGTATCTGCACATGTCGTACCTTCCCAAATACTGGAGAGTGAAGAGGAAGAGGCTAAGAACTAACTCTGTTTTTCCAGTTATTCTAACTTCTTGAAAAAAAAAGTAGTTCCTTTTAATTACTCTAATGCATCAGATAAATTAGGGATCCATTTGCTTTTTTCGAAGAAGCAGCAATCCTGGAGAGCCATGGAATAGATGTACAGAGTCCGGGAGGTCATTCCAACAGTGACGACGTTGATGGCAATGACTACTCAGAGCAGGTAAGCATCGTGGCTGAACCTCGTGGCCCAAAAAGGGAGAGTTCACGCCACACATAAAGAGACCCTCTGCCTCTCGCAAATCAGATGTCTCTTGTTTTTGTTTTGCTTTTATGTAATTGTAATGGGGAAAGTGGAAGAGCACAGCTCCCCTATTTGAATGTGTTGAGCAACCAGTATTCACCCACATGGATTTATTGTCATACAACAGGACACTTGGCAAGTACGCAATGGGGAGGAGGAGGGAAGATGTTCAGAGGGAGGCAGAGAAGCAGAGAAGGTAGAAGAAGACAGGAGGATCTGCTCCAAACAAGCAAGTTACACCATTCACGCCACACGCAATGTATGAAAAATGTTAGGAGAGTGTTAACTCACCCAGTGCGCCATGCATAACTTGCACTCTCCTTGCCCATGGCACCGTTCTAGTTATCCACCCTCAAGAGAGGATGTACAGGTCTTTAACGGTTGCTCCTATATATCAGGCACCAACAAGCTTCCCTGCAAAACTAGGCATGACATACGTGTTCCTCTACACCTATTATTTCTTTCTCAAGAAATATCTCCATTATAGCCTGTGCTACAGCTACTGTGAGTTGCTTATCTGGCACCCAGACAAGTACAGCAGTAAGCCCCTGCCCACTACACTTTATAATCCCTTTTGTCAACCTTGCCCAGCAAGACACTGAGCACCCTCCTATAAGGTGCTGAGCTCCCTCTGTTTGTCTGTGGGAGTGCCTTTCAGGAGCGTCTCAGGATCAGTCCCTAAGACACTGACAGACAAAGGGTGAAGGGTGGGGGGAAAGGATTTGGTTAAATAAAGTTTTACATTTATTTGGCCCCGTACCTGTTTCGTATTGTTCTGCAACAATGTGCCACTATTTGGATTGTTTACATATTATCTGTCTTTTTTTTTTTTCTTTTCTTTTTGCATTTTAACTCTTGCCTATTCTCTATTTTTCTTGGTTATTTTTAACCCTTGACAGCAACTTCTTTTTTAAATTCTCTAGCAAAAGAATACCCCTTCCCGCACTCTGAGCCCTCACCTACCCTAAAGTTGGTGACCCTTCCTTCACACACCTTCCTGACAGGTATTGCATCCCCTTCCCAATTTTCCTTCAGGTGTCAGTGTTGGCCAAAACCCTCAGGGCTGCGTGTGCTTGGCACCAGTGGACTTGAACAGTTCACTTACTTGGTTCTGGTTTCGGTATGAGCTGCGTTCTGTGCTACACCCAGCATCTGGGGTGGGCAGATCGCTTTTAATTGACTCATTTGGGAGAAGTAGGTAGGTCTCCCTCTATAAAAGCTGCTGATGGAGTGTAATAGCAACTGAGTGTTCTGGAATGAGTCCCTAGCACACTTGGCTGTGGCCCAGTACGACAGATACCTGGCAGAGGCATTCCCAGCCGCTCTGCTTCTGACGGGTATTAAGGCCCTTTTTATAGGTCATCACCAGCAGATTTGGTGGAACCAACTTTGCTAGCTCTAGATGATGAGAGGCTGCTCTGTGACTGTTATAAAATATTTTGAAACTGCTGCCGAGCACAGATAATTCCTTGTCAGTCAGATACAGGACCTGAATACTGAGATGAAGTGTTACGTAGACTCCCCGACTATGTTTTTCTTCTGTGTGTTATCCAAAATACTTTGAAAAGAGAAATAAATCGGTTATTAAAATTTAAAGATCTTTGTTTAGAGTCCTTAAAAATTACATTTCTCAGTAATCTAACTGGGCTCCTCTGTGAAATGTAATTAGGCATTAGCAGTGAAGCGGATTAAATGGCAAGCTCTCCTGATGACCATTTAACATCCCTTAGCTGTTAAAACCATAAATTCTGTTTTCCACAGCAACACTTAAACTCTAGTAAACTTTAAAACACAAAGTTCATCCAAATACTAATGAAGTGCCTAAAACTCCAGAAGTCAGGACTTTGTATTTCTTGCTATGGTAAAGATTACTGAGAGGCCCTTAGAGTGTGTGCACATCACAATATTTGCCTGACGTTTGTTGTAAATGAATGCATTCCCTTAAATAACCTTAGGATTTTACCAAATCCTGGCTTTTCTGTGCCCCTCAGCGTTTGCCACCTGTCATCTTAATTTAAAAATGCTTAATACACATTTTAAACTTCACAAGTTCATCACTTAAAGGCTGTTGGCAGACTGATAAATGTGTATAATTTCCTTTCTGTAAATAATAATAATTTAAAAAAAATCACAAGATCATGGTGTGGTAACTATTAATACTCCATTTTAAAGAGGAGAAAACACCACGATTTTGCCCAAAGTTCCGGAACAATTGATTTGACGGCTGGGATTACAGTTTGGATATTGCTGGTTCTCATTCCTATCGTTGAAAACCAGGCCCTATTTCTGATCTAGACTGAGAAACATGCACAACTCACTGTAAAATTTAGTCAGACTTTTAGGTCTGATATTGTATGGCCATTACGCACCTGTAGAAGGCAGCCCTTCTTGCTCATTGATTTTAAAATTTCCACTGCAGCCCTGTAGCAGCGAAGTTTCTCTGTATTAGTTTTGCCTGCCAACCATCACAGCCATCGGCACAGTGGTCCTCTTGCAGCTGAGAGACTTTCTCTTTAGAAAATAGATGAAGAAATAACGGCGCATAGCTCAGTGGACGGGAGAACCTGGCAGCATCTTCACCTGCATATTTGAATTATGGTGGTTCCAGTCCCCTGAAATCATTGCACTGTTTTTCTTAGCAGTCTAGGAGGTTTTCAGCATCTTTTTCCCTATACCTGTGTGACTTCAGTGTCTTCACAGGACACTGGCTCAGACCAAGGGTTAGTCTAGGTTTGCATCCTGTTTGTGAGTGTGGTCAATAGTAGTATTTAAGGAAAAAGCATTTTTGAAGAACAGGACAATTACAGAATGATTTTATTATAGTAGCTTCCAGCTTCTGGAAGTCAGTAGTTTTGAGAGGCTTCCTGAGCCAGGCTCTGTATCCACTTTGTTCTTAATTTACCAATTATTTGTAATAAACATTTACCATATCAGCCATCAGCCATTTCTTTTCCAAGCTGAAGAGCCTGAGTCTATTTAGCCTCTCCTCGTAAGGAAGCGACCCCATGCCTCTTTTCCCCTGGGTTGCCGTTCTCTCTACTTTTTCTAGTTCTATTGTGTCCTCTTTAAATGGGATGGCCAGAACTGTATATTCAAAATGTAAGCGTAGCGTGAATTTGTGCAGTGCCTAATGATTCCTATCTTAGTTTGGTTTCCTGACATACCTTGTGTATCACTTTAATCTTTATAATTTAATATTTTCCTCAGAATATCCCCCCCTCAAATTTCTCTCTCGAAAATTGGGTACGCCACTCCTTGCCCCGCTTACCTTTGTCTGCACAGTGAGGGAAATCAGTCCTAAATCAATTTTATAAATTCCTTTCACTTCCTACCCCCTGTAACGAATGTGCAATTTGCTGCCCCTGGTCCGTTACTTTACACACTAGTTTTATCTGCTGGTTTTCTACTTATGGAGTAACAATGCTTCTCTCTTCTCCTTTCCGCATGCACAGGATGACAGCACTAGCCATAGTGACCATCAAGACCCCATTTCATTAGCCGTGGAAATGGCAGCAGTAAACCACACCATCTTGGCATTGGCCCGGCAAGGAGCCAACGAGATCAAGACAGAGGCTCTAGACGACGACTGATACAAAGAAAGGGGAGGGTCAAAGCAAGAAGTAACTTAGTTTTAGACGTAGCACCTTAGCAGACTTTCCTCGGTCCTTAATATGTGTTCTTACAGTATAACTTTGCAGTTTCTTGTACGTCAGTTAGCTGTTAGGGTCTTGTTCTGTGAAGATGGCATGGTGCCCTCAGCCTTTGCATATACTCTCTCAGTATTAATTCCCAATAAATAATCAATCAACCAACCAACCTCCCTCTCCCAGCCCCAGTGGCTAGAAAAATCTTGCTGCTCTGTCTTAGCATTCAAAGTGCTTCCAGGTATTTTAGACAGCCCTCAATTACAAGTCTTAGGCTACACTTAAAATCTTGGATACCCTTAGAGATCGTGTTAAAAAAATAGTCTGTACGCTTTTCCTTCTCTGAGACTGAAAGGATGCAAGCTGAGGTAGTGGCACAGGGTCGATGGACACCAGATCGGGAGTATCAACAGAGAGTAAAAAGAACACTAGAAACCCCACTTCAGCATGGGAATAAATGATTTCCAGCTGCAATAAGCCGTGCCTCACTGGTCATACAGTGACTTGACATACTTTTGGGTGCTGTGCTGAGAATGTCCATTGGAAACACATTCACATATTTCGGTTGGTGTTCACACATTCAACACAGACATCTTCTACTCTCACAAGCTGCGTGGCTTAGTGGATAAGTACTGCCTTCTGCCTCTGGGACCATGATTGAAGCCCAGCCTGGGATCATATGAAAAATGAGCTGAATGTCTAATGGACAAGAGTCCACTTCTCAAAACCACTATTCATTATTTGGCATGGCTAGCAGTGCCTGCTCAGAAGAGGTCTAGACTCTATTGATCTGTCATTAACAAGTTCACCTTTTATTCTTCTTCTCGCCTTCTCTGTCCCCACCCTACTCCCCTCTCCACTTTGCCACTTTCAAAAGCAATGTTTTCCAGGAAGGTTATTAAGGTCATAAAATGGGTGAGTGGATTTTTACACATCTGTGTAACTAATGCCTACGTCCTGACTAGCCTGAAAGGTTATTGGAGAACTTTTGCATCTGACCTTTACTAGATAACCATCATAGCATAAATATTCTCCTAAATATAAACCTTTTTTGTTTGTTTAAAGGCAGGAGGATCTCTTACCTGAGAAATGGGGTGTGAATGTTTTGTGTTCTCTTTACTCTGTCCTTGTTAAGATGTGAGAAAGCTATACTGCTACGAGCAATTTAATTAATAATTGGAAGCCATACTGATAATGGATGTGGTAATATTTGTAAAGCAAACCTACTTTAAGTAGCAGAAACTAATGGAATTGTTTTCCTTGATCATATGTAGCACTTTTGTTACTTTTTTCTTAAAGATATTTATATTTGATAAGTCTTTTTTTTATCATTTGAGAATTCAAAATACCAAACAGCAAACTTGCATTACAGAGTCACCCTGCGATTACCTTGTCATCTAGTATCTAAATGATGAACTGTGTGTGCATCTAAGAAAATTACATCTGCTGGCATTGTGTGGAAATGATCTCCTGGCATCCTGATAAAATGATATGTTGCTGCCGGCAAGAGGAAACATTTCAATGGAAACAGCACGGGAAGTGTTAGAGACGGGCAGGACTGTGTTACATTAGAAATAAAAATTTAAAACCTATGTAAATTTTTGTATATAGATATCTAAAAATTTGCATAGTGTTTCCACAACATTCCATTTTTATCTTCCCAGTTTACGTGGGAATAGCTTAAAAAGGGGAAAACGGCTTAGTCTGAAGGATGGGTTTTCCCTTTTCTCCCCTCCACTTCTAAAGGTGGAGGGAATGAAGGGAAGTTGCTATTACTTGGCTCGTTCTCATCCGTTCCTCACGCTTAACTATCAGATAGCATTGTGAACTCCTAAAATTTGGCTCCTCAGCAGGTTTTTAGCCAGCCTAAACCCCTTCAAGGCGTAGGCTAACTAGATCATCTTTACATCTGTTAACCTTGTGAAAATTGCTTAGGTAAGTGTGGAGGAGATTTTGTGCTTTCAGAGGGCACAGAGTTGGCACCTCTTTGTCTCTGTAACTTTGAAGATATATAGGTAGGGCTTGGCCTCGTCTTTCATTTATGGATTTCATTGGAAAATTTATGTGCTTTCCTTAGATATACATCACTGAAGCAGAATGAAGCCGTCTCTTTTCTGGTTTATTGCATTTCTCGAGTAGGCAAATTCATAAGTAGCATCAGGGCAGACTCAGGAAAGAAAGGAATTGGATCAGCGACCATTGCAGTTTTTTTTCTTAATGTGTGTATGAATGTTTTGGTACTAAGGAGTGAAAGGACAGGGAGAGCTTTTATTTCTATTTTTGCACAGCAGAATGATCGAGCAAACTTGTAGCCTTAGTGGAATTTTACCTAGTTATTCGTACTACAGTCACACACCAAGCTGTCAAGCAACATCCACGATTTATAGTAAGGAGATTTTAATAATCGATGGCCTCTTTATGTTGGGATTGCCACCACCATTTGTTCTGGCTGTTTCATTTTAAAAAGAACAGACTCAAACTGTTGGACAGCTGCAATTTTAAAAGAAATATTGCTTACTATACCATCTTAAATAAAGTCATTGTTTCAAGCATCACCTTTTTAAAGCAATAGGGAAGAATAAAAATAGTACTAGAACTTCTATGTCCTGATTTTAGGTTCATGTAATGCAGGATCAAAGTAACACCATTAAAATTGTATGTCCATACCATCTAATGTAGAATAATCTGATCTTAATTCTGTTTGTCGCTGTCAGGTAGCTGCGGGTCTCATCATGCATCATTATCCTATCTGAAGGTTAAACAGTTAAACCCCTTGCGAACAACGGGAGATTGGCAGATCCTCCTTGTCTGTAGCTTCCTGGTAAATACCGTCTCCTCACCAGAGAAAATAACAAACGACACAACTGGGGAATCGGACACTTAGTTCTATGGTGTCAGTTTTTGGTTCGCCCCTGTCTATTTTGGCTTTTCTTTGACCATCGAGAGGTACGAGGAAAGAGTAAGACTTCAGCTGTTAGCAGGGTGCTCCCAGCAGGCTGTTTCCTTTATTCTGAAAGTTCATAATGAACAATTTGCAGTTGGCTAATAACTTTTTGGTTTGACATGAATTAGCCAAAATGGAACAGACGCTGGTGTGATGATATCAGGAGAAGCGTGTGTGGTTTGGAGTAGGTGAAAGAATCTGTGGAGAGTGTGTCCTGGAATGTAGCCTTTGTTCTAGGGTTTTTCCCGCACTGTGGGAGTCGTCTTTGTCTTTCTGTCTCTGGATTTTCTTGAAAATTAAGCCTCATTTTTGTAGTATTTCAATTCAGTTGCAACTTGTTGTAGCCAACCTGGAATTACTGCAATTTGTTCTCGTGCGAGTTCCCTTGAAGTGGATCTGGTGGCAGACTGGATCTACCTTTTTGTTCTGTGAATAGAGAAGAAATTATTTAAGATGCTCCTCTTCTGTGATGGGCACAGATTGCTTTTAACTTTGTAGAGTAAGTTCTGGCTGTTATTTTGTCGCTCATAAAGGCCTTATACTTGAGTTACCGTCTTCTTAAAACAACAATTTCTACCTCCACTTCTTTTTTGGGATTTGTTTTTTGTTTTTTTTTTTAATTCCCACGCCTTTTTCCGAAGTATGAGATCCCAGGTGTTAGCAAAAGCATTTTGAGATGATAAAAATAAGTTGACATAGCAATGAGCAGACACGTTACCCGTTGATGCCCTAGCATTATAGACATCTGTTAAATACTCTATAAATGTATGTATTATTACAGTGTAATCCCATTACTCATATGTTGGATGTGAACAAGTTGGTCGTGAGTCAGCAGCGCACCCTTGCAGCAATTAAGGAACCTCATTAGGAAGAGCCTTCGGCAGGTCAAGGAGAGCGATTAGTCCCCTCTGTTCATCACTTGTGGGACCACCTCTGGAGTACTGTGTGCAGTGTTGGGCAGGAGTGAGTCCATCGTAGGGCTGCTGAGATGAGGGGGTTGGAGCACATGTCGTGGTGGGAGATCGCGAGAGCTGGGTTTGTTCAGGCTGGCTCTGGGGGCATCCTGTATTTCGTTGTTCAGCTATCTTAATGGGTAGGTTTGGAGAAGACGGAGCCAGGCTCTTCTTGGTGGTGCATAGCGAAAAGGTGAGGGGCAGTGGGCTCAAATTGCATTAAAGAAAATCCCAGATGAATATAAAGAGAAGTATGTTCATACTCGGAGTGGTAGAACAGTGGCCCAGAAAGGCAGTGGAAACCCCATCCTTGGGGATATTCAAAACTCAACTGCACAATGTTGGATTAGAGACCTTCAGAGGTCTCTTCTGACCTAAATTAATCTATGATTCTGTCCAAACCTGCTCAGATTGAGGTGTTTCCTAGTTCTGATCTATACATGTTGACTTGTTTAAAGAAATGCTCTTAATTTGTTGTTGGGATTTCTTTCTGTTTTGCTATTCATAAAAAGTTTCTTTCCTATTCTACTAATAGAGGGGAGCTTTATTTGCAGGGTCTGGCTCCAGGGTCCAATCAAGCCATAAGTAATAAATTCCATTAATTATTTGCTCTGTTTACACAGTTCTTCAGGGATATTTGAATTATTCTGTTTGTTTCATTGCCTAACATGAGACTGGTAAGTTTTCCACGTTTTCATAACATTTGTGCTGTAGATCAGTTTTTGCCTTCATTTGTGAGGATTTATTGTTGTCTCACTGCTGTGAGTGCAGATGAAAAATTTCACTTAGCTGAACGTATTAGAGGAAAAACTGTAGTTAACTTAAGCCCACTGGTGACTACTATGATAAGCTAGAATTTTTTGGTTCAGTAAATCATTAATTGGTGATTATCAGAAGCTGAAAGGG